CCGGGTGCCAGCCCGAACCGCAGCGCTCCTGAGCGGACAGCGCCGGGAACGGAGCCACGAGCTGCGGGGACCGTGTCCCCTCGGGCCCGTGTCCCCTCCCTGCCCGTGTCCCCTCCCTGCCGTGTCCCCTCCCTGCCGTGTCCCCTCCGGCCCGTGTCCCCTCGGGCCCTGCACAGCGAGCCCCGGCTGTCGTTCGGAGGGGGATGCTGGTGCCTCGTGTGAATCCCTGCAGGCTGGGGATGGCAATCCGGCTCTGCCAGCACCCCCGGACCGGCCACATCCCGAGACAGGAGCTACCAGAAGGTTCTGCAGCACCTGGGGGGTTCTGCAGGTCCAGCCCATCTTAGAGCCAGGGCTTTGGGTGCCCTCACTGCTGGAGAATTGCTCTGTCCAGGAGATATCTGCATGCATTAAGTGGCAGAAAAATGCCACAACAATCCCTGAATTAAGTAAAAATCATTAAATGGGAGGAAGCAAGACTTATTAATTAGGGTGGTAGAGAAAATCTTTTATTATACATTCATACTTGCCTTTCATGGAGGAAAGCATTCTGCACAGATGGTCAGCTTGCCCTGCCCTTGCTTTGGCTTTCAGGAGATGGAATCCCATCTGATAAAGACATCCCTGAGTGCAGGGGCTTTGCTTAGTGTTGATGGATGATCTCCCTTTGCTGTGCTGGATACAGTGGTTTTGTTTTTATTTATTTTATATTTATTTTATTATTATCTTCTGGCTTTAGAGGCAAAGAGAAAGAACAACAGTCCCCCCCATCCTTGGCCTGTTAATCAGTGACCTGTTCCTGTAATGTGGACTCCTGCAAGAACAGGACTATGTCAGTAAATTGCTGAACCCATTGGTAATGGCTTTTAATTAGGCTACATTACCTCTGTAATGTAGCCTAAGCTTGTTTTGCCCTATATTTTCATTTATTTGAGTGTTGATGGTGCTGGCCCTGCTCACCCCTGGGCTCCCCAGCTTGTGTGATGCAAACAGGAGAGAACAGCCACAGAGCTCTGCTGTTCTGTTCCCATCTGCTCTCACCTGTTTCCCACCTCCTCTCTGCACAAATCAACTCAAATGCTTCAGCTTTTAAAACTTGTACATGGTTTTGCAAAGCGTGACACCTTCCTGCACATGCACACCCCAGAGCTACACCAGCACTGAGCTGAACTGGAATTTTCTCTTGCTGTGCCAGCACCTGCAATATGTACATGAAGAATGTCAATATAGAGAAATTCCAGCTGCCACATCTGACATTAAATATCACTACATGAACACCTCTGCACAGCACTGAAAAAGTGTGATGGAATACTCACCTGCATGGACAGGGCTGACAATCCTGCGCTGTGGCAACTTCTGTGATTTCAGTCTCTTTTCATTCTGCATTGGAAAGAAATAAAACATTTCAAATGTTTGGGGATGAGAGGCCCAGGAGGAATCTTCATACATGGTTTAGCATTTCCTTCTGTGTCCCTCTGTGTTCATAGGGCATCAGATTCTGATTCCAACACTTTCCTCCCTCAGGCCTCATAGAAGTGTTCAATCAAACATGGCATGTGCTGCCAAAATGAAGACATAGCTCATTACTTGCTTAAATCAGCAATACTGAGTATGTTTTACTCAGACACAAGTTGAAACTGTCTGTGTGAGCAACACATCAACACAAAACTGTGTCCAGCTGTGCCTGCATCGCTCGCACATCACTGTACACAAAGGTGGCAGTGCCTTATTGCAGGCTCCACTGATGATGCAAATGCATCTACAAACAATTAGCATTATTTGTGGCTCTCATTAATGGCACACATGGCCAGGTAAACAGTGCTGCTGTCCTCAGCCACGCAGGTAGAAACACACACACGACACCAGGGGACATCAGCACTGCTCATTGCACTCTTGGGTAGCAGCTCACAGACACAGGAGCAGTCACAGCCAGCCAGGAAAGAGATTCTACTGCCCCTAAAGCCATTCCTGGCTAAAGGATGCACTTTGGAGTTGGGAAACTGAAGGAAAACTCTTCTTTATTCATGTCTCACTCCTTGGTGTGCCTTCCACACCAAGATCAGGCATCACTGGCCATTCCACCTGCTTGTATTTATGGCCCCTCTCTGAAATTCTGACTGCTCATCAATGCAGAATAAAATTACCTAAGCAATCTTTCCTGTCCAGGTGCTCATTACTAAAGCGTTAAATAATGCCAGGCAGACTCTCTTAGGCCTTATAAATTTTATTTGGGGAACTTTCAGCTTCCACAAAGTCTGTTACTTCTTGATTGCCCAAAAGGCTTTGTACCAGCCAGACACAGAGCAGAGAGGGCTGGGAAACAGCCAAGCACTGAGCTTCCATCACACACAAGGGCTGGCCTGGGAGCTCAGGATGGAGAAATGTGTCCATATGAGGCCAAAAAATGTCTGTCAGCACACACAGGGCTACCTGGAGCACACACTGGGCTACCTGGAGCACACACAGGGCTACCTGGAGCACACACTGGGCTACCTGGAGCACACACTGGGCTACCTGGAGCACGCACAGGGCTACCAGGGCTTGTGCACATGGAGATGTCTGTGTGCTTGGAGTTAAAAGCACTTGGATTGAAAGGTGTGTGTTGGTTTTTACAGCCTGGTTTTTGGTAGCAGGGGACCACAGAGGTGGCTCCTGTGAGAAGCTGCTGGAAGCTTCCAGCAGGTCCAGCAGAGCCAGTCCCTGATGGCTCTGAAGATGGACATGCTGCTGGCCAAGGCTGGGCCAGTGAGAGATGATGGGAACGCCTCTGTGATTGCAGATTTAAGGAGAAAATCAAAGCAAAGGGAGTGGTGCAGTTTTAATTCCAGCCAGAGAGAAGGAGGAGGTGAGAACGTGTGAGGGAAACGACGTGGAAACACCAAGGTCAGTGGGGAAGGAGGGGCAGGAGCTGCTCCAGGCACCAGAGCTGAGATTCCTCTGCAGCCTTGGTGAGACCATGGTGAGGCAGCTGTGCCCTGCAGCCCCTGGGGATCCACAGGGATCCAGAGATCCACCCCCAGCCCCTGGGGATCCACAGGGATCCAGAGATCCATCCCCAGCCCCTGGGGATCCACAGGGATGCAGAGATCCACCCAGAGCCCCTGGGGATCCACAGGGATCCAGAGATCCATGCACAGCCCCTGGGGATCCACAGGGGTGCAGAGATCCACCCCATCCCCTGGGGATCCACAGGGGTGCAGAGATCCACCCCCATCCCCTGGGGATCCAGGGGGATCCAGAGATCCACCCAGAGGCCCTGGGGATCCACAGGAATGCAGAGATCCATCCCCAGCCCCTGGGGATCCAGGGGGATGCAGAGATCCACCCCCAGCTCCTGGGGATCCACAGGGGTGCAGAGATCCACCCCCAGCCCCTGGGGATCCACAGGGATCCAGAGATCCACCCAGAGCCCCTGGGGATCCAGGGGGATGCAGAGATCCACCCCCAGCCCCTGGGGATCCACAGGGATGCAGAGATCCACCCCCAGCCCCTGGGGATCCAGGGGGATGCAGAGATCCATCCCCTGGGGATCCACAGGAATGCAGAGATCCACCCCCAGCCCCTGGGGATCCACAGGGGTGCAGAGATCCACCCCCAGCCCCTGGGGATCCACAGGGGTGCAGAGATCCACCCACAGCTCCAGGGGATCCAGGGGGATGCAGAGATCCACCCCCATCCCCTGGGGATCCACAGGGATCCAGAGATCCACCCCCATCCCCTGGGGATCCACAGGGATGCAGGAATCCATGGGGATGCAGAGATCCACCCACAGCTCCAGGGGATCCAGGGGGATGCAGAGATCCACCCCCAGCCCCTGGGGATCCACAGGGATGCAGAGATCCACCCCCAGCCCCTGGGGATCCACAGGGATGCAGAGATCCACCCACAGCCCCTGGGGATCCAGGGGGATGCAGGAATCCAAGGGGGATGCAGGAATCCAAGGGGATGCAGGGATCCACCCCCATCCCCTGGGGATCCACAGGGATGCAGAGATCCACCCAGAGCCCCTGGAGGAGAAGAAAGGGCAATAGTTCCTAATCCAGAGAGGTTCTTTTTCATCAGCTGCCAACAAAGTGTCCCAGAAGAATCTGCAGGTGCATCCCAAGCCCTGTCAGTCCCCTCAGCTCCTCAGGATCCTCCTGGAGGATGCTGAGTTGCAGGTAAAGCATTTTTTCAGATGAAAAGAATGGGGAGTGGGGAAAAAATGGTCTTTTTAGGAACTTCCCTCAGCTATTTTTTCCCTATGTCTTCCTTTCATAGAACTGAGACCTTTTCTTCCCATCTTTCCTAACCCAAACATCCTGCTTGACTGACCATCAAGGAGAGGGACATTTCCTATCTGTCCATAAAACTAACAAAACCACATTACTATGTATTTCTATGTGCTGTGTATATTTATAAACCTCAGCCCTGACCTGACCAAACAAAATATCTTCTAGTTAACCACTGGTTGAGGCCTGAATCCTAATTGCCAGCCTATTATTTCTTACTCAGGCAACACTAGCACTCAAAGATTCTGTTCAACATTTCCCAGATGCAGAAACCATCTCTTCCCCAAAGAGCACAGGTGAAGGCACACAGCCCCCTCTTTTAGTGGATAACATTTCTCATATATTTCATGAGAGCCAGATGGCACCATCTGAACAGCAGTGAGCTCAGGAGCCTCCAGCCACATCAGGAGATGCTGTGGGAAGCTGTCCCTGCTCGGGCACACATCAGAACAGAGCCCTCCTGCATAAATTCACGTGTGGAAAGCTGAATCACCACTGCTGACAGGTAAAATACTACAGTTTTGAGGGCAGGAAGAGTATCCCCAGTCCTGAAGCTCAGTGGCAAAGAGAAATCCATCTGCAGATTGCCACAGAGAAAGGAAGAGATGTAAAGAGAGACAGAGTGTGTCCTAAAACCCTGCTGTGTGTGGAGCTTTTTCCTTGCAATTAAGAGAAGCTAATGGTTTTATGGAAGTTATTTGCTGAAAAGGCCTTCAGTGCAGTATTTAATGGAGTTTCTCCAGCGTTCCCCAAAGGTTTCCAGGCTGCATTAGCATCCCACAGCTCACAGGCAAACAACTTTCTCTACCCTGGGTCTGTGGAGTGTAGGAGTATCAGGACTGCAGTGCCTCCTGTGCTCTCCTTCTCACTGGAGTCTTGAAGCCCCAGGATGTAATGAATATTCACAACACAAACATTAGCAATAAGTATTGTGCTATTAGGACAAAAATATATTTTTTGGGGGGGGGAAAAAAAAAATGGGAGAGAAAAAAAAAAAAAAAATCTACTGGATATCGTTTTCCTGAGCTGTAACTGGTGGTTTTTAAAATGCAAATCAGTCTTGGGTTTCTGAGAGACATTGTGAAAAAAAAAAAAAAAAGCCAAAAAAACCAGATCCATGCAGCAAAGCTGTATTGTATTGTAATGAATGTGAGATTTGCAGAGCTGCCTCCGTGCCAGTGATGCACAGTGGATGCAGGCCAGGGGCTTGGGAAGCCCTTGTCTCCAGCTGGCTTCTGCCACCAACTCGTTGTGTGACCTTGAACAAGACATCCCTTCCTCTCTGGCAGGGTGTGGGAACTGACAATGGTCAAATAAGAGATTTTTAGGCTTCAGGCATTAGCTTGAGCCTGTGTGAAACTGAGTCACACAATGTTCTCACTCTGGCCTGGGAAATCATGAGGAGGAATCCAAACAGAGAGGGAAAACCTTGGCAGGTGTTGTTTGCTCCTTGTTGTTTACATGCAATAAACAGTCAAGGGGTGCTGTTCCAATTGACCAGTGATGGTGATGTGCTGGTTTAATGACCAATGACAGTTTCACCTTTTGGACCCTCTGGAACCTGTCTGTAAAAGAAGATCTGGAATAACAAAACTTATTCAACCCAGCTAGAGAGTCTGTGAGATACTTTCACCATTCCTAAAACAGTGTGACAGCAGTGTGGGGCACACAGGGGGAGGGAGAGAGATGAGATGAGAGATGATTCTGTAGCTCCTGGTGAGGTTATCCACTCCAGGCCACTCTGAGGCAGAAGACAGCAGAACTAACACAGCAGATGTTTTCCTGCAGGGCTCAACAGGGCAGTGTTGCCCCATTCTCAGTGCTCAACCTTCCTTACTCTTTTTCCTATCCCTGTTCCACAGTTTATCTTTGCCCTCACGTCTCCCTTGGGTCTTTCAACAGAGCTGTTCCCCTCCTGGAGCTCCAGTATCTGTAGAAACCCCTCTGCAATCAATCATTCAACTGCTCTTACTCACATCCACCTGCAGAGCACCTAAAATTCCCTTTTTCCTGCCCTGCAGTTCCAGAGCTGTCCCTAAACAGACTTTACCAGATCACAGTAGAGTTGAACATAGAAGGGGAGACCTAAAAAGTGAAGCTTTGATATAGATTTCCTTCCAACTATTAATGGTATAGACATAAATAGTAACCATCTACAGAGGAGGGACAGTCTGTGTGACATCACAATCTGGTGATTGTTCCTCTGTTCCTCTGTTCCTGGGCCTCCAGAATTCACTCTGGGATCTTGAATCAGTCACTCTGGTTATTTCCACCTTGGCTTTCCTCTAGCCTTCCCCTTCCTTCTGTACAGCTGGGTGGTGGGAGACATTTGAGCTGTCATTTATTTGTTCATTGTTGCCTCTTCTTATCATCTGAATTCACCACATTCAGCCCCCAGGGTTGGTGAGCTCAAAGGGTTAATTGGTGATTTCTAAACCTGACCCTTCAAAGCCTGCACATCCCTCCTGCCACATCCAGCCACGCTTGCTCCCAAGCACTGCACTGAGGGAAAGCTGCTGAATCTGGATTTGGAAACTCAATTCACTCCACAAGGTCACATCAAGGAGGCCAAAAATCCCAGTCAGCCAGCACTAACCTTCACTTATTGCTCACCAGAGGGAATAAGAACTGCTCAAACAAAGAGTGCCATATTCCATCAGCAATCCCCTGAGCTCCCAGGCAAACACCATGCAGGGAGAGCTGCTAACTGAGCTCCCTGACTGTGTTTTCATGAGCAGGAGTGCCCCAGCAGCTGCTGACCTTCGTGTAGCAGGAGCTTCAGGTCCCCTCAGCTGCTGTGTGTCACAGACACAAATCACTCAGAGACTTCTGATGCATTTCAGAAATTATTTCTCTGATGAATGCAAAATCCCAAAGGGGGAACATGTCTTGAAGTGGTCACACTGAGGAAAAGTCAGTGCATTCCAACAATAAAATCCCAAAAACTTCAAATCCAGAAGCCAAAAGGGAGGTTTTCAAATCAATATTTAAACCTCTAAGCATCAAACCTGAAGCTCTCATTACATGTAAGAAAATTTGTGAGTACTCAAGGCTTTTAAAACTTGGTCATTTATTTCCAGATATGTAAATATTCCTATTTACATAAAAACTTCTCAAAAAATGTTCTACATTACCAGCAGAACATTTCAGCTCTTCCCTGGAAATACAAATCTTTAAGATGCACTGACTGGAACAAAAATATATTAGTTTAATCTGAAATATTTAGAGTTTCAGACATTCCTTTTAGAAGCAATTAAAATGTACTTAAGCAAAGCATTATTTTTGACTCCTTCTCCACCAGGTATGCAGTGCAGACAATCAGAAGATTTTGCATATTGGTAGCAGCAGTAAAAAAGTGCTTCTGAAAATCAGAAGGTGGGGGAAATGCCTGCTCCAGGAAGGCAGAACAGAATAAGGAATATAAAGAGGAGGACAGGAACTCAAATTAACCCATTCACACCCTGAAGGGCAAGTGCATAGCCACTACCACTTTGGAAATGTCACCAATCTCTTCAACTACTGCAGAACTGAACCAGGAGAACTCACAGAAACAATTCAAGGTCAGAAGATTTCCAGAAAGCAAACAGTTTTTATAAAACAAGAAATTCCTAGGAAATTTCTAAGCCAGAAATCACTTGCAAGTAAAAGGATTCCTCCAAATCAAACCTTCCTCCACTGGTGTAGATTGCTCTGAACAATTTGTGGGAAATGTTCCTGTGTGCACATAGCAAACACAGGGCACATTATAGCCCAGTGATTAATGCAAGAGAAGATATCTTTCAAATTCCACACATTTATATCTGGTATTTTTCCTGTTGATGTTATCTCTGTGGGAAAAAAAAAAAAAATGAAGTGTAGGGAGAAATAATTGTTGTCTTTTTCCCAACCTGGAAATGAAACTGGAGATAATTTTGGTAAGGAGGTGATACAGGAGCAGATCTTTATTTGAAGGCCTTCAGAGGCAGTTATGGAAAGATGTCCAAAAACACCAAATTCACCTCCAGGAGTGAATATATCTTTATAGGTTTTAGGAAATGAGCATAAGTGATAAAAATTAGGTAATAATGCAATTCCCCCCAGGCCAAGCTCCTTCTCTGGAGTCCCCTCCTCAGCACTGGCCGTGCTCTGTCCGTGGAATTCATCTCCAAGAGTTGTTCTCAACCTTTGTTCCCAGGAAGAACCAAGACAGAGCTGGGACCTTGCTCCCCCCTGGGGCTTGGAACTCTGGAATTTTTGTCTTTCTGCCCAGGAAAGGCCATGGAAAAGTACTGGGAAAATGAGCTGCTAACACAATAAACTACAGAACTACAAATAGATACGGAGAACATATAAAAGAAAAAAGGTAAAAAACTAAAAGGGATCATTAGGAACAAACTTTGTAGCTGTTATAAATCAATCCTGCTCCATTTTGACCTCAGAAAGGTTGGGCTGTTCCTAGCAATGGAGTGTATGACTCATTACCTGGCTATTCAAACACCAGCCTGGAAGTTTTATATGGTACCTGCTTGGAAAATTAGTTTTTTGTCCCCCCACACCCAGAGTTATCTCCAAACAGCTACTGGGAAGCTAAGCAGCTAAATATTCCTTTATCCTTCCTCTGAGCAAGAAAAGCATTCTGCCATAGACAATGAAAGTGAATAAAAGCTATTTTCACACCCTGAGCAAATGGAAACCCTCCATCTATTCTCAGCTTTTGTATTTTGCTTTTTCTCAGGCTTTTTCATCTGAGCATCAACCTGCTTGAACTGCTGGTGTGGGAGAAAGGCTGATCCACCTGTGGGTGAGGAAGCCATCAGTTGGTGTGGTTCTTTCTGGGGGAGCAATGGAAAGGAGCCACTTGTGTGTCTGAGCAGGAGATGGAGCTGCTTTTTTGATAAAAGCAGTGGTTTCATGCCCTGACAGGGCAGCTCCTCCTGTGGTGGCTCCACTGCTTCAGTGGGTTTGTGGTGGTGTGGAAGGCAGTCCCAGTTTGGAACTGGGGACCACTGGGAATTCAAAACATATCTGTAAAAGAGCTCCTGGTGCCTCAAGATGGAGAAAAGAGGAAATTTTCTCACCCTGAGAGATGGGGGTGGAGAAATATCTTTTGCAGTTGCCCTTATTTACCAACACAGCGTTATCAGAATAAAGGTAAAGTGAGAAGTATAAGCAGGGAAGCAGACAGACAATACACAGCCAGGAAAAAGCTAAACAATACCTAAAGCCAGACTGGCAGATTGATAAAATATTCTTAGGTGAGAAACAGTCTGAAAGACAGGAAGATGGAGAGAGAGATTTGGAGCTGAACTTAATACTTCTGTGATTTATTTGCATTAAGCTCAAGGAGTGTGTGTGGCTTGGGTTTTACTTGTTTGTTTTGCTTCCCTGACTGCCTCAGGTGCTGGCAGAGAATTGTTTTGCTGAAGTTGCAGTCCATGGGATGTTTTGGGAATTCAGTGTCCCTGGGAAAAAAATGAGGAGCACCTTACAAAATTCTGGAAAACTTCTTCGAGTCCCAAAACTCCAAAGAAAAAAGTTACATGGGAAATGGTTTAACCTCTTCCCTATAGTGAAAGTCCAGCTTTGTCTCCTCAGAGATCAGAAAATACCAGCAACCTTCCTACTGTGCTTTGCATGAGGACAGTGTGCAAATTATGGAAATTTTGTTCATCCAGCCATCCTGCAGCAGATGGCAAAGCAGTGAGAATGGCCAGAGCTGGTGGGTGGCATGGATTGTTTACTCTAATATGGCCCTGAGATTAAAGTTCCACCAGTGCCCATCAGCAGTCTGCTACATTCATTCATTTATAATGATTTCCTCTTTTTCCCTGCAGTTATGTTTTAGAATTGTTGTTATTTAGGTATCTGGAAGAATCCAGTGTAGCTCACATGACTCAAAGTAGGACAAATAAGATCCATTCCAGGATCCCCCTTGGAATCCAAGCCCAGGCATCAGGCTCTGGGACACTGAACCCCTTGCAGCCTTGTGCTATTGCAAAACATCTTCTGCCATCATCATCCTGTCTGAAAGAGCAGGAAGGAGAGTGAAAAAGCAGGGAAATATGTGGGTATTAGGAAGGAGAATACTCAGAAGAGAAAAAGTGTGAAGGAGACAGGTGGGGGAATTAAAAATACGTTAAAAAATACAAGAGAAGATTTAGAAAACCAGTTCTACAGCATAGGACTGGTACCTATAATCTCTGCTACAGAACTTCTGCATTAGATGGATAGAAAAGTTGCAGAGAAGGAACTTCCTTACATTTAGTGTTAAACTCCAGGGGAAGTATTAATAGAAAGAAAAATGAGAAAGTTAAATAGGAATAGGAAACAGCCCCTGAAAGCCCAAGTACCTGAGTGCTGGAGGAAGGGGAAGAGAGGGGTAGCTAATGGAGGAGTTTGTTGGAACTCCATTAAAAAATCAGTTGCTTCTAGAGGTAAAGTGATCCATGCTGCCTTCAAAATCTCATCTTGGAGCAGCATCCATTTTTTGGGTGCTGGAGTACCAGGGAGCTGTGCTCTCTCAGGTGCTGTTGGCTTCTGATGGATGCTGCTGTGACAAGTGCATTAAACCCAGCAAAAGTGAGCTTTATTAGGCTCTGAAAACCAGGGCCCATCACTTCTCAGAATAGTTATGAAGCAGTCTGGCTGGAGATGGATGCCAGCATTCCCACAGCATGCAGAGCACGGCTGATGGCAGCACGAGTCCTCCCACAAACTCTGTATTTACTCAAGCCCTGCAACACAGAGCAAACTGGGCAGCCCCTCCTTAAAATTATTAATATTTCCTCTCAAAGAGAGTCGTGGTTAGTGGAAGGTTATTGTGAAAGCCTCAGGTGGGCTTCAGGAAGTTGCATCCCACCACCACCAGTCATCCAGTTTGCAGGACAGATCTGTGGATGGGACACAATGGGTCAAATGATGTTTTTGACTTATGGGATTCCACCACAAAGAAAACCCTACATGTAGGCTGGGTCACAGGACAAAAATGTGGTTTTTAGGCTTTACTAAAGCCACAGACTCATTACCCAGCTCCTGTTTCCAGGGAGGAGCAAGTGGGTGAGAGCTCAGCCTCATGTGAGTCCAGATCTCAGCCAAAGGCTGACAGACTGTCACTGTCTCCTGCTGTGGCTCTGATTTTGCTGTCACTTCAGCCAACAGTAGTGCCAGCCCATTTGTGACCTTCTCTGCCCCTAAGGCTGGATCCCCCAACACTCCCTTATCTCCAAGCAGCTTTTGCAGAGAATCTCACTCTCTGCTCCTGTAATGAGCTGCCCAGCTCGATATGGAATTAGTAGAATCTGAGTTATTAATTGTCTACAACAATTAGCCAGGACACCTGGGCCTTCTGGCAGCTTGGTTACTCTGTGGGAGCCAATTACAGTCTCGTGCATATTCATGCCATTTCATCCACAAGCCATAAAAGCTGCTTCCCCAGCTCTCTGCCCATCTCCTCCACCCTGATGCTCATCCAGTCCATCCTGAGACAAGGAGAAGTAGTTTCCTTTCTTCCCACGTTTCCCTGAAGTCAAATATTAGCAGTGTACATAATTGATGTAATGGAAATGCAGACTAGCACATTTGACAGGGAAGAACAGAAAAGGCCTTCCCAAAGCTGCCTCGTGCCTCAAAAGAGGAGATGAAGAGATCTTGCTGGACTTCATCCCCTGCAGCCACTTGCTCAGTCAGCAGACCCCATCATCCAGGTGAGCTGAGTGAGAGATATTCCTCATAGCCTGCAACCCCTCCAGCTCCATCTGGGACCAGCTCTCGTGGTGCAGATCATGCAGTGCCAGTGAATCTGATGGATTTATCCCAGTTTACCCCCACTGAGGACCTTGAGTGAAGCACTGGGCAGTGCCAGATGTGCCACTTGTGTGTGATCCTCCTGCTTCCCGAGGCTCCTCTGAGGTTACACCTACAATATCCATGCTCCTAGGATAACAGCAGCCCTGTGAATACATCACTGCCACCATGAATCCACTCCAGCAGGAGCTGGGATGAGTGCTCAGAGCTGCAGGGAGCTCCAGGTGTTCTGCAGGCTCTGAGCCCAGCCAGGCAGGGAAATGCATCTCTCTGGGATCCACTGATGCACCAGAGTTAATATCCCTCCCACAGCAGCCAGCTGGCATCTAAAGTGTTAAATCCATAACCTGCTCTCCAGATTTATTGTCCTGAAGGCTATTAAGACTTTCATGAACTTTGGAATGCAAAACAATATTAGAAACTCACATTATTTATCCGACACACTAGAGTGGCTCCTCCTCAGCCGCTGCTGCTGAGGAAATAAATCCCTGTTCTGTGTTCAGAAAACAAAGTTATTTCTGTCACACAGGAGACCATCTGAAGCTTTTGAAAGAATCTGCTTTTAATATTACTAATACTTGCTTTTTGTTTTTGTACACCAATCAGGCCCCTTCACAAACAACTTTGTTTTCACAGACTTTGTGAAGGGGACTGATTGATTTTGCCTTTCCAGTCGTTTTTAATCATCATCTTTGCAGGCTGGTAAGAGGCTGGTCACAATTTTCATTAGTGATTTGTGATTTGGGTTGCTCCAATTCTGTTATAGACACCACCCCAGTAAAAATCAATTACAAATTAGATCACAGTAGGCAGTGTGACCAGTGAAGAGTGAGAGGGAAAAAGTTTGTATTTTTTTTAAAATTAGAGATAAATTGAAAAGAGATAACTTTTTGTCTTCATCAGAAGTAGCCATGCTAGAAAGGTAATGGGTAAACACAGACTGTATTTTAGATCCTACATCACATTAATTCATGACTAGAAAGTGGTGTTGGCCACTGCTGGGAAGTGTTCTCTGTGTAGTGCACTACACAGCCTGGTTCTCCCCCATTACTCCTGATTTATTCCATCTAACACCATTAACTTGAAGAAGTTTCCTTCTGACTTAATACCAGTATGAGACCAAAACCAGATTCCTCATTCTGAGACACTGAAAAAAGAGAGTTGTGCAGTCTTCTACTCGAGCCTCCCACAAACATTTTCCAGCTCTCCTGACTCTGTGAGGAACTTTCTGCTTTAAATTCACAAACCTCTGAGCTCTCCCAGGCCAGTGGGACAGACATCATAAACAGATTTTAGGTCTCCCCCATGTGCTTTTCAGTGTCTGTTTTGTTTCTCTGCATCACCACAGCTCCCCTGGAAAGCAGCAGTGTGACTGGAATTTCTCATTCCAAGCCCCAGACTTGCCAATCTCAATATCTCAAGTTATTGCCTGGTTTTTAAGGTTCCTGCCATGTGGCAACCTGTGTCTGGTAAATGCAAACATTTTTCTCTTTGAGCAACTTCTTTTAACATCTCAGTTATCTGTTGCTTTCTTTTTTTCCCTTTTGTCTGCTCCATAGCTTATATTTCTTTTCTTCATAGTGGGGATTTTGCCCATTAGAGGAACATTACAGAAGGGAAAATAAACACATCAGTATTTGATGTTCTGCCTTCTGTTTAGAAGTTTCTCTTTCTTCTCCCATTATATCAATATTACCATGTTGATCCATAAGCAAAATAAAGTATATAAATATACTCTTTTTTTTTTTTTTCATTTTGAATAATAAAACTTGAAGTTATAGTTCCCACAGCAACAGTAACTCAACCTTAATGTGCACATACATTAGAGGCAGGGAAATTAACACCCAACACAGCAACAGAATATGTGTGAGGGAATT